TTTTTCTAAGGTTTTATGGACTGATGAAATGAGAGTGAGTCTTGATGGGCCAGATGGATGGGCCTGTGGCTGGATTGGTAAAGGGCAGAGAGCTCCAGTCCGACTCAGCTTGTTTCTGATTTTTATGAGGCGAAAGTGGTGTGTAAGTCTTCTGATGTACTAGCAATGGTCAAAATTCCAATGTTCCGTGCCCTCAGACTTTTACCATTAGCATCGGTGCTAAAACAAATTACTGTTAGCTTGTAACAGATAGCACACAGAACTAGAATTAACTTGTTTTTCTCCTCCCCCTGTTTTATTATGTATTTTCATCTGGTTATTGTTTATATCTCTTTATTTTTTACAGTGTGAAGGAGGAAAAATTAGTTTGCCAGGGAGGCCATACACGACGAACGGAATTCATTTTTCCAAAAGGTAAATTGATGTCTTCTTTATTCTGTAAAATAAAGGGGAAAATACAACAACAACATGTGCATTGTTTATATTGTTATTAATCACCACTGTGTTTTCTCTAAAGCTGCCACTTCGCAGTGATGACTGATGAGAATGACGTCAAAGAAGACAAACACAGCATCACAACCTCTTAAGCAATATGTTTAGTGGCAAAATGTTTTTTGTGCTAGCCAATTTTATCTTCTTTTTTAGTGACTGGTATGAGTATTATTTGGAAAAGTGTCACCAAGTATTACGTTCAGGGCTGAGGCTGATTTTGTAATAAATGTTTTGTAATAGATGTATTTAAAAATACTCCAGAAGACTACTTGCATTTCTATTTTTGATATGCAGCGTTTCAGTGTTTATGTGTACAATGACAGCCTCTGCTGGCTCTTGAAGACTGTCAGCTATGTTTTTCTTTGTGAAGGCAAGTTGTAGACCTTACAGTGTTACATGAAAATTTACAACTGCTGCATGTAAAACATTTAAGCTGATCTTTAATAATATGATAGTCCAAATCAATCCGGTCATCTGCAAACTCCTAAAATAGGCTTGCTACCCCTGTATTTCTCTAGTTTTTCATCAGTTCCTCAAAACTCTCTTCTACGTGCTGGCTCATGCTGCCTTCAGGGTCTACTCGTAAATGTCAAGAAGAATGTCATGAAGAATGGTTAATTGTTAAACCCCTGTAGTCAAAAGAAATGACATGTTATTAATTACATAAACTGTCGCTGTCATATAAAAAATACATGTCAGATTATCATATATTTTTGTAGTCTTTTTTGTAGCCACTCATGCCTGTATGAAAAAAAAGTCCTCACAGCAAACTGAACTGTGTAGTCTGAGTTAAATCCAGATAGAACAGAACCCAGTGAGTTAATGTCCTATAAGTCATATAGCAGTAATTTTCTCTTCTCTTCTGTCTAAAGACGGAAATCGACTGTCTGAAGTCTATTTTTGTGTCTTCTGTTTTGGAAATAACCTGCTTAAATGTAAATCTGACACTTGTTCAAGTGAAGAATGAGGTAATCGATTTGATCAACTTCTGGACGTACACAACTAACATGTTTTTCAGAAATATTTATGCAAATGCTTAAGACCCTCCTGAAGTTCTAAATTTAGGTGATGTTTTTAGGAAATTACATCTCAGCTATGTAACTCTGTTTAAAAACGAGAGGGACAGAATTATAAGACCATGGCACCTTGGTCAACATTCACTTTAACGTTGTGCTGAGCAGCTATAGAAGTCTACATAAAGTATGTATGTATATATATATATATATATATAATTTAATGAAGGAAAACACAAACTGGATAATTTTACAGGGCGAATAATTTCCAAATACATCAAAATCTTTGGGCGTTACCAGTTTTGATTATTCTTGCCCCACTTTAGGTAGTTACTATGTTTCCCACAGTCTTCGAAGGCAGCATCCTATCGCGGCATCGCCGGACCTCTCTCAGGTGTCTTTCCCGGGCAGCTGCACGGCGGAACGGAGAAATGAGAAAGGGGCAGCATGGCGGACAGGGAGAAGAGGAAAGCTACCCCGCCGTCTGGCCGCAACATCCAGGTGAAGTCCCCGGCCAGTTTCAGGTAGGTCCCGGCGGACACAGGGTTGGAGGGAGGGAGCGACCGAGCTGCCAGCCTGCCCACCAGGCTGGAGGCTGTGAATGAGGGATGAACCACTGCGGTTTTGCATATCCGAAGGTGCTGATGCTGGCTGGTTGGAGCCGCTGCAGCAGCAACAGTGTCTGTCTCTGCGGAGCTTTCCAGCGTTCCGACTTGCAGTGTGTTGTTGAGTCGCATGTTTTGTGCTTGGGCGTGTCTGCTCCCGGTGGACAGACACGAGCGATGAGCTCCCTGCTGCAAATATGCCCTACTTTCTGCTAGTCTGCTTCAAAATCCTCACAGTACAAGGATACTTGGTCGTAGTGCATGTTTAATACATATTTTTTTCCTTTGCTTTGGTACTCCTTTACGACGCAGTCCAAGTCTCCATCATACGTTTGCATCATTTTGAGCTTGATTTGCTGCTAAAACTCTTGATTCGACAAACCCGGCACTGATTTAGTGTCATATTTTCGGATTTTAACAATACAGACAAGGAGTAAAGCATATGCCTCCAAAAGAATATTTAAGGGACTGATTGTGTTGATGATTTTATGGAAATGTTATCAGAGCCATACGTCATCATAAGCTGACTTTTGTGGTTTAACAGTAAGTAAACTTTGATATTAAGTGGAAAGACTTTAAAACATTATTGAATCATTCTTCCTGAATTATTATTCTTATACCAGCTTAAAAATAAAACACCAAAAAGACAGAACAAAAAAAGAAAACAAGTACACTATTTGTCCCAATTACTCACTTTTACAATGCATAGATTTGCCACACAGTCAGACTGATTTTGAATAGCCTAATGTACTCAGTAAACAAAATATTCAGTAAAATAAATACATCCTTACAATAATAATTTAGATTTTGGTTTTGCTCCTTGGGTTGATTTTCAGACTGAAAAAAGCAGTCTGGGGAATCTTTGTGCTCTACAAATGGACATGTAGATATCAGCTGTTTAAAAACGGTAGGTCAGGTGACCAGTCAGAGGGATTCAACCTGTAGAGCTGAGCACTGCAAGAGATTAGCTCCACGCTGATGTCTGCTCTCACATGCTGAGTGCCTCACACACTTGGAGACGATTGCAGCTCTGCTTTAAGAGAAGCTGTGGCATTACCTCAGGGTGATTATTGTGAGGATGGAGGCCTGTGATCAATATTCTCTAGTGAGACAACAACACACACACACACACACACACATTCCTGCAAACACCCAGCCTCTGGCCCAGTCTGTCCTTGTCTCATTAGCTGAGCTGAAAACAACCACCAAACATCTTTGTTCAGGATTTGATCTGTTATTGGGGATTGAATGCTGCTGATTGGTATTTGGGAAATGTGACTGACTAGAGGAAAGAAGCCAGATAATCCAAAATCTCGGGGGCTGGCCCAGTCCCAGAGCAGCCATATGTTGTCATGTTTTTCTCTCTCACCTCCCTGCCTGTGCACGCTACAGTGAAATCCTATGTCTCAGCCCAAGCCACTGCAGTTAAGAGACCAGCTCTTTGTGTTGGAGATGTTCAGTAAGTGAGACACATAAACGCCTCACCTTTATTTCTGGTGTTTTAGTGGCGCATTAGGATTTGTGGCATGAATCTGAGTGCAACTAAATTATGTATTAGTCATAAAGAACTGGGTTATACAGAAAGGATGCAATAAAGACACCCATTCGATTTTTATGCAAGTCAGATAAATGGCCTGTATTTGTATAGCGCTTTACTTTGTCCCTATGGACCCCAAAGCCCTTTACACTACATTCAGTCATCCACCCATTCACACACTGGTGATGTCAAGCTATATTGTAGCCACAGCTGCCCCGGGGCAGACTGACAGAGGTGAGGCTGCCAGACACTGGTGCCACTGGGCCTCTGACCACCACCATTAGGCAACGGGTGAAGTGTCTTGCCCAAGGACAGACCGACCGAGACTATCGGAGCCAGGGCTCGAACCGGCAACCTTCTAATTACAAGATGAACTGCCAACTCTTGAGCCACACAAAGTCAGATAGCCGCACAAAATCATTCTGTATAACAATAGATTTCTAGTAAAGGTTCTAGGTTTGTAATCCAAAATGTACAGCAGGTAAAATTCTTTTTGCCAAAATCATTTATTTCTATTGGTTTATCAGTATGCAAATTGTGTCTTCTGCTTTACTGAAAAGTTTGTTCTCACTGGGTGTACCCTGGATGACTCATCTTACCGCTAAGGATGGAAACTGAGTTCCCAGTAGTTCAGTTCCTTGGAATTGTTAGTCTGCTTTCCTATCGATTCTGCTTATTGGTTCCACTTCAGTTGGTGTCCTGGAGGAGGAAAGTAGCGGTGCAGTCTACAGCATGAATATAGACATAACTTTTATTTTTATTGCACAAAAGGACGAGAGCACAATGGTAAAGTGCAAACTGCATACAGGACAGAAACCTTGTGCTGCTAAAAGAACTTCAGCTCTTTGCAATTATCTGCACAGATAGCATGCTAAGCTAGCCAAGAACCCAGTGTGATGTTAAAGCTGAGTGTAGAGCCCAGCCCAACAGTCAGACCCTGAACTTCAACAGGCAACAAATTGATGAGCAGTCAGGCTCTAGCATTTTTCTCCCTGTTCATGTTTCTAAAGTAGAATCACTGTGGCGATCGCATTAAAGTCTCTCTGTGCTAGTTTTCATCTTTTTGCTTTGTGTTGTCAACTTTGTGTTCATACCTTAATACTGAAAGAAACGTCATGAGTGTGTCCTCATTAGAATAGGGGTTTGTGTTGGTATGTTGGCCTGTAGCCTATAGGTTTTTATTGTTAACTGGTAAATTATGAGACAATGATTTTTCATGTCATTTTACAGAGAATAGTGAAAGTAACATAATGAGTAGTAATACATCTTTTGACTTTTAAGTAATGACCCCAACACTAATCAGAGCCTCCAGCATGCACAAACATTTGACCGCACAGCATACAGTTATTTCCCACAAATGTGATGTCTTTGATGTGTTGGCTGCTGGTGGTGACTCTCAACCCAATGACAATTGACAGGAGAATCGATAAGGACACTAATCGATAAGTGATCTTGATAATGGAAATCTGAATCTCTAAATTTATATCAGTTATTATCTAGTAAGAGTTTTACAACTCATGATGTGGTTGTTATAAACACTGTGCACTATAACAACAACGAAACGTTTTCCTGTTAGGCAGCTTTGGTAGAACGTGTGTAAACTGTGGCATGTGGTGTTAATGATATTCAAGCTGACAATGAGCCGTGACAGCAGAGTTAAAAAAATAGTCTAAAGTGATGTTGAATTCTGCATTTGAACATCCTTTTTATGTTCATCCTGGAGATGAAGAGAAACTGTTGAAATGTTCGGGAAACCGGCAGTCATATTGTAACTGATATTAAGCAAAGGACAGCAAAATGCTGCACAATGTAGTCTACAAAAAAAGGAAAACTAAAAAACTTATAAAGGCTGCATAAAATAATTAGACCTTTCAACTAGTCATCCCCAAACAGAATTTAATCTTCAGCTATCCTGTAATATTTAATGTGAAATTAGGTGTTCAGGAAGTCTCAAACCTGGATTGTATTTTTTCATTTTAGAGGGAGTGGTGTGGTGAGGGCTGGGCTATACATTTATGTGAACTTCTGTTTTAAAATTACTTGCCATGCATTATTCACATAACTCACTTGTGGCACAAGAGGGCGTAGTGGGAAATCTGTATCTGTGCAAGTGTGCGTAGTTCAGCATAATTAAGAAGATATGAAGCAGAACGACAGTATAGGATTGCAGACTACTCTAGGGTGCTTTAAGGGAAAAACTCATTAGACATCAGACAGCTGAGATCCCTGTTGATGGATCAGGTAATGCCTGTCTTTCTCAACAGGTGCAAGTTAAGTGTAATCACTTGTTAGAGTTATAAAATAGCTTTCTGTAAATAGGGTTTGAGAGTTCTAGTAAGTTATTTGATTGGTTTATCATACAGTAGCATTAATTTGATTTGGTTAACTTGTCTAAGCTGGAACTTTCACTCTGTTAGCAACAACTGGAGCTGAAATAAAGCTATTGTCATCACCCCGTTGAACGGGTGGACAAGGCGGGTGGAGTGGACATCTAAGTTTGTGAATGTAATAAGTCAACAACAAAGATACGTAGGATTTTCAAATTGATGCCATAGGTGCATCTACTAAAAACCTTGGATAAGTTTGAATGTCAGTGATCTTGACCTCATGGTCAGAGTATGCTTTCTGAAAATCTTGTGAATGCAAAAACTTGAAAACGGGACTACGTAAGATTTTGAAATTGGCAACTCAGGTGTGTTGCCAGTTGCCAGTAGTTTTTGTTATGTATTTCATTAAACTGGCTGTCATTTCCAATATTGCTCATAAAAGTTTCCACCTGAAGGGCACGGAAAATACCTTTGTAGGTCATCATTCATCTGTTTTGTATTTAAAGAACATAAGTAGAAGGCAGCTGGAGTTTGTTCTAGGGATGTCATGATACCAGAAATTTAGAAGTTGGTACCAGTAGGATTATACGAGTCTCCATGCCCAATTCATTACCAAACCACAATTATTATCCTATGTACTGTACTTAAACAGACTCCTTTATTAAAAGGTATTTTAAAACACTGACATACTGGCATAATTTTAACTTAAAATGTTAACATTAAAATTTGCTCACAAAACACAGATTGAAATGTTAGGGTGGTTGTCGAATAGTCTAGTAACGTTACAGCAAGGATTGTAACCTGTGGAAGAAACAGATTTCACAACAGTATTGCCAGCTATGATAACATATATTTCAGGATTAAGTAAGAAGGATAATACTTTGAATGATGTTAGCATAAACTGAAGGAAAAGTCTTTACACATGATTATGTTTAAAATAATTAGGGATGTTTCCCTCAGAATTAGATTGTATTTGTGGCAGCGAGGCAGATCATGTGTGCACATATTTTAAATGTTGTTGAGCACACTCACAAATTTCATGAATTATTAAATAA